TTTTATTTCATTCATTCTGGTCCTAGAGATGGAAGTCAATTTAGTCAAAAGTCACTGAGATGAAAAAAGAGCTTCTGTTCTTTACTAATCCGTACAGTATAGCTATGTTACAAACAAGTTTCTGTGGTTTTAGGGTAGAAATTATGTGCCCCACTATCTGAAAATTCCAGACCTGAGTTGTAGGTAAACATTATGAGGAGTTGCTATAATTTTTGGTAAAAAGAAGTCTGAATCAATTACTACCACATGGCAGTGTCTGGTAGTCATATAGATATTGCTGCTATAAATGTATTCACTGAATACCTGTGAGATTGCTAAAGACCACTCTGAATACCAGTCTTTTTCCAAAACAATCTGGGGCCTGTAGTGATTGCTACGTAATGCTTAGGTGTATTTAGTGACAAAGTAAACCTCTGACAAATGTGCCAAGCTTTGTGTAGAATAGCAGAAATTCTTCTCCTTTCTCTTACATTCTACTGTAACTTTCTGGGAGGTTTTAGGAGTGGACAGTGGGTGGGGTAGGTTTTTTTATTATTGCTGTTTACCTGTCTGTTTCCAAATGCTTCACTTTTTTGCCTTGATAGCAAGAACAAATTGTGTTGTTCTTACTTTCTGTTCTGCATGTATTATACAGACTGTGAAAGAAATAATGCCTTTTTTTGTTGACTAACATGGAAAAATGAGATAAAAAGTTGGATTTAGATTTGGGATTTCAATATAGTTTATAAATGTGTATTATGCACATAACATAACTGTATAGAAGACAGGAGAAATTATAAATCCTGGATAAACATATAAAGGGTATATATAATTTTTATATTATTTATATAATATATAAATATTTATTGTATAATACATATTAGATATAATTATATAAATATATAATTCCTATATATTTTTAATTTTCACTAGAATATATTTTTTAGCATTTGTACATTCAAACACAGACTTACACACACATACCCTTATAATATATATTGCTGACCCATAATTTATGCTGGAATACTGACAGAGAGGAAAAATTTAGTGTAATATTAGCGCAAACAATAATTTTATACACAAGCTCAGCTGCTTCAGTCCTTAAGAACATCTTTTCCAGAATATGTAGTGAGAAAATTAACTCTGGTCACAGATTTTTTTTATTAAGGGAGGAAAACTTAGAATGCTCAAGAATTTCCAAGCCCTTCTTTCACACTGGAGGTCTTAGATTTCATAGTCTCTTGCTTTATTTGTATTATACTCTATATGAAGCAAGTTTTGAAGTGAATGAAATCACCGTTTTAACACAAAATTTGAAAAGTTGGATACAATGCAGACTTCTCCACACATTTCTCTATATCGAGAAACATGTGACATATTAAAGTTAGACCTTTTATCTACCCAAACAGATTTGAAAAAAAAAAAATTACTGTGCTGAATCAGGGTCCTTAGCATCCCCTTACCTGTAAATTGATGAAGAGTGCAGTAGCTAACTGGGATTTACACCAGTCAGGATTGGTGTAGTCATATTGTTTCAGAGCACGCCCAGCAAACAGATTTGATAGATGGAGATCCCGAAGTTTAGGTTCTTATGAGTTTGCATGTGGATTTAGTGACCTAGAAAAGAATTTATTACTTTCCTGTAATACTAAGTTCCAAGGATATTTCATAAGTCCATACTTTTCTGAGTTCTCTCTATTTAGATGCCCAAATTTTGCAGGAAATTGCCAGTAGGTGGCCCTGAATGCTTCATTGTATCTGACCTATGTACACAATGTGTGTAAGGATGATTAATTTGCAACACCTAAAAATTATTACTGTATTAATGCCAAATGTAAGACAATTCCAATCTTCCAACTATTAACATGTGTGTCATGTAGAAGAAAAAAGTCAAAAAGATTGAATGTTTAGAAGCGATAATCTAATGAGGGTATGATTTAAATACCTCTGAAATTAATTTGATTTTTGGTGGAGTTGTGCCTTCTTTGATGTATTCCTTTTTTCTCTGGTATTCTAAGAGTTTTCCACATTTAACAATTAAAGATTATGGGTCTGATCCATTTCAAAGATGCAGATGCTTACAGCTCTTCGGAACTTCTGTGAATGTTAGTACTTCTACAAAATCAGGTCCAGGTTTTTAAAACCCCATAGCCCTAATTTAAGAAAGCTATCAACCCAGTGCATGTTAATGATACTGATACACCAGATTCTCAAACACATGATGTTCATAAGTGGAATAAAAAAGTGATAATGCAGTGCTTTAATTCATAACATAGATTTTTTTTGAATAAGAACTAAAAAGAGAGGTGTTAATATTAAAAAGTAAGAATATGAATATGTTCCAAATAAGAAAATAGAATACAGTATTCTACAGTATTATAAACAAATAATTGAACAGTCTGCCTATTTGAGAAAAAAAGCGCCACTATTAACACTAATATGGAACAAGAATATTCTCTCTATATAGCATATATATATGCTATATATATGCACCTTATTGTGTGCACTTTTACCTTGGTCGCTTTCTTGTTTGAATTGTGTTTCAGTAATTAACATGCAAAAATAGATACAAATAAATTGAAATAAAATTTTATTAAATAAAACCAGTTGTGTTTCAAACATAGTTAAATCAAAAATTGAAACTGCAACTAAGGAAAATTGTTTAAAATAATTTTTGAATTTGTCAAGCTAAAAGTATTCTCTTTTTTTGTGAGATTTGTCATAGATTATTGTATGTTCATCTTTCAACACACAGACTCAGATGTCAACTTCTAATACTGGTTTTAAATTTTAATCTCCTATGTTGATTTCCCTTTTAATAGATGAAAAGATAGCAGACACTTTAATAAATGCAAAAATAATACTGATTCAGAAGTAATTATCCTGAGGAAGATGGTAACACTGGAACAACTTTTCTGTAAATACAGACAAGAAAAAAACTAAATATGATCTCTTGGGAGATTATTCCTCATTGGTGAACATATGTAGAAGTCTCGATCTCCAGGACTGCTCTTGTGAAGTCACACAGAATGTGTCTTACTCTTGTTAAAAATCAGTATCTTTCTTAAATGGCAAACTCCAAAGGTACCAGTGTAGTTGGAACCTATAAATTTTCAAACTGTAAAGGTTAGAAGACTGTACTCCTGAACCAGGAGCAGGGGAAAGCAATATCATAAACTTAGAAAAGAAGAAATAGTTCCCACTTTAATAGAGGAAGGTGATGAACTATGTAATTAGAATTCTTTAATATTTGTCGCTGATTGGACAATTCACTGCTTGACCTTTTTAATCAGCCCTCACAACCTCATTTGGGTAGATACAGTGACTGTCCATCCAAGCTTTTCATTTTCTGTCTTCCTAGGGAGGTAAAGGAGAGTTCTATACATCAGGTAAGGATAAATTCTTCTGCCTAAGTTCTGGTCCCTGAGTGACTAGCAAGACATGTATGACTTCATATTCTGGACTAGGACCTTGCCTAATTTTATTAGGGTAACTATGGCCTTGACAGCTGAATACATTCAGCCTAAGGAATGGATTTGGTTTGAACTGGGATTCTTTATGCTAAGACAAATGGAAGGCTTAACCAAAAAACGTATTTCAGACTATGAAATAAGCAGCTATGATACTTTAAGAGTATTTCCCTTAGAGCTAAAAGTTGAAAGTGATGAGTTCACTGCAAAACCAGGTAAAATACAAGTGAGGAATTATATTTTGGAGCTTATGCAGAGTAAATTATAATATTTACAGATAAGTTTAAAAAATACTACAAGTAATGTACCAAATGTCTTAAAAGGTGAGTTAATGAATAGCCTGTAACTTCAGTTTATGTTGTCTAAACATGAATCAAAACTATGAAAGTTCTGACATTTCCCTTCCCCATGCCTTTACAGTTATTGAAATAGTTAAAGCAGTCATAATGGGCAAATTGAATGATGTTAAGTGAGGTCACTTATGCTTTTTGCTGGTTCAAGTTCTCCTGCAGTTTACTAAACAACTTCTAGTTGCTGCTGAATTCATGTATCACTGAGGAAAGAAAAATCTTTGAAAGAAAAAACAAAGGAATAATTAGCAACAGGGATGATAATTCAGTGTTGTCTGAAATAACATTAAAGAGAAAAACAAAAAACTTTTGTACCAAAAAAAAAAAAAAAGCACAAAGCTTTCTGATGTCTCATAAAAGCCCTGAATTGAAGGTGCCAAAAAGAAATAACTTATTAAGTTGATGTATAAGGGTAAAAAGTAAACAGTTGAATTTCCCCATGCAACAATGATGCTTCCTTTGCAGGCTCTTCCAACTCTAGCATCCACTTCATGTTTCAAAACATATCTGTTTTTCAGCAGAATGGTCCAAAAAACTGAAGGATCTCCAGAATTGTACAGCTTTTTTTTTCTTCCCAATAATATCACTATTTTATTCTTTATATTTAGATCTCTTTTGTGATCCAGAAGTAGGTAGTAATTTGTGAAAAATTGCATATATACAATTGCTTTGGAATCCAATATTGGAAACTGCCATTAAAATGTCTTAATAGATCATATCAGTAAAAGACGGATCAGAGTAACATGGTTGCCATGTGTCCTCTCTTGCATATAATGGTGATATTTTTTTAACCTTATAGACTGGTAAATACAATTGTAAATATAAATGAGTGTGGTTTTTTACTTATAGAAATAGCACAATAAAAAACATGGCAGCTGTGACAAGCAATTTATGTGTAACATATACCTCTTTGTGAATTTCAAAATAAAGGATAGTTTTATTTCCCAATAAAATAAATTTATTCAGAAGGCCAATATTACATCCCAACAGTGAAAATAAATCATAAAATTAAAACTAATTTTACAGTATTTCTTAAAGTTATCTGAAGGAATTTAGACTATTTGGACTGTTTGCTTGAAAATAAAGTAATTGCATTTTTTATTTTTAAAAGGCAATGGGTTTCAAGTTCATCTAGAGAATCTTAAAGAAAATATATTTTAAAATAATGATGACAAACAGGAGTATCTCTTTTCCTCCCCAGGTAAAAAAGAAGAATGTTCTCAGCTGGATACTGCTTTAGATGAGAAATTACAAAGGAGAAAAGACTTCACATACCAATGGCTTCATGCACAGCTTTTGGATTATGAGGCAGTGAGTTCCAGAAATACAAAGTGGTGAGATCATTGCCTTTAAATTAGATTTTTTTTATTTTAAATTTTTCTTGTAAAGTGAAACCTAGGTTAATAGTTCTAAAACAAACATGATTTTGCAGCTAGCAGACAGAGCACCATATTTCCAGGTCCCAAATATGTCCCCCTTTAGAATTGGTTTAGTAATTGTTGTATAGATACTTCTTCTCAGCAAAAATTAAATAATAAACAGTGCAGAATCTCATGATAAATAACTGCATAGTTTTACGTTAGCAATGCAGTGATTTTTAGACTGTAAAGAGTGTATGAAAAAAGTTCTTATTCATCATATATTTTATAACATTATTGATATATATTATGAGTTTATGTAATTAGATCAGCTGTAACATTAGCTATATTGTTAGATTTGATTAAGGAAGTAAAAAAATACCTTTTTTAACCAGTTAATGTGTATTTATATTTTGTCTTAAAAACATCAACCCAACTTTTACATCTTCATAGTATACTATATTAAAATGTGATAAACATGCTCCTTCTCTGTTCAGTTTTGATTATTGAACAGATAAAATATCAACAAAATTAAGGGAGAGGTTAATATTCTCTAACATGAAGACACAGTAAGTATATTTTGATCATAAATTCAATATGTCATCACTGATATCTTAATGAAGTCGTTAGTAGACACAATCTAAAGCACCTTGAATAAAACCAAAGTGTCAGTAGGCAGGTAGGGCTGCATATTGTTCTGCCTTGTGTGGAAAAATATTCCTCATACCCAGGTTGTATCAATGACTGTAGAAAGTATATGAAGAATATGTTCCTTAGGAAATATTTATCTGGCTTTGCAGAAATATTTATCTGTCGGTCATGTTCCATAATAGTGAAATACTCCAAAGTGTTTAAGGTAACTTCCATGACTTTTAATTTGAATGAAAATACTGGAACAGAAACATGTAATGATGTTTGAAAGTAATAAGGCACAGAAATTTCTAGAAGAATTTTCTTAAATACTATTGTGCTACCTCTCTGGATGTATGCAATGCACTAGTATTTGTACTAGTGCAAAGATCATAAAAACATTTTTTTAATTTGGCGAAAGTCCTGATCTCCATTGGAATGTCACTGGTAGACAGTTTATAACAGCTGATACATTTAGGCAACTGAGAACAATTTTATTCCTACATAGAGTAATATGGCAACTGGTTTGGCTACAATTTATGTCAACACATGCAACGATTCATGCATGGTTTCATTTATTGACATATATATATTTTAACTTAGTATTCTATCTTTTGAATAGACAATTGCAAATTATTTATTGGTTTTAATCTTAAGTACAAAAAAATTAATATTAATTACTCTGCCACTTTATCAGGTAATATTAATTTCTTTGATGAATTTTAATAATGGGATTATTTTTAAAAATTAAGCAGGATTGTTGCTAGGAAAAGATTCTGCATGGGTATTTCAGAGAACCCAGTACAGTGGGACATATTGAAATTTCTATCCTACGTTTTTCCCAGCTGTCGTTTTTTGCCTGAGTTAGATCCTGCGATATGTGACAATAGACGAGTACAGCTTGTGGTAAGAACTTGTTTCTTTGTGAGATTTTTCAGAATTCAGGTGTTTCCAATCCATACTTTATGTAAAAAGAGGAGAATTTTTTCATTAATATAATTAGTTACTGTTGTCTCAGTTTAGCAAGCAAGTTACTCATTGATAGAGATCAGAAGAAATATTTTAGCACAAGAATCCGTGTTTATAGGGTTCTAGTTTAATGATCTGACACTGAGTTTGTTTTTAAGACATCAAATGCTACTACGTGTTTTTTAAAGGTTCTAAATCAGCATTTGAAAAAAAAAATTAAATATGGATCATGCCAACTACATTATTTACTAAAAGTCTGTATTCTTGTCAATTGAACAACTTTAAATATTCTCAAATTCTATATGTCACATAACTAAATCATTCTAATATGCCTTCAGTGTCATTTGTTGAAATACAGTAAGTTGGAATTGTATATTAGTATGGTAACATTCTAAAAACACTGCATAAAATTAGACCTATACTCACTCCATTTATATATATATATATAAAAATATATAAATATATATATATGTATATACACTCTTTACATTTTATTTCCAAATTAGCAATATTCTTATTGATATTATTATGTGGGGTTTAAAAGGTGGGGCAAAACCAGAAACTATAAAGAATTAGTGCTTTATACTCATATACATGATGTAGACCATTGCATAAAAAGTATTTCCCTGTTAAGTGATGTGTCATATGCGTCATTTTGTTTTCTGAGCAGTCTTGCCCCTTTCTAACCTCTGTCTTCTTTAGCTTCACCACCTGTGCAATTTGCATGTTTTGGAAACAATTCCATAAACTCTTCTAAAATTCACCTTTGATAAAAATGCTTTTGAGGCTTAGATATTGCTATTACTGTTTTCTTTAGGACAGAATTTGTCACATATTTTTCTCTGGCATGGGGTATGTCCAGTTCTTAGATTCTTTTAAAGTTTTGGGGCTGAAATCATGAGCAAAGTGACAACTGTTATGGGGTTTGATTGCAGCAGCACCAATAGTTATTTGTTAGACCGAGTCTAAAACAGTAATTGATCTAATTTGAACAAATCATAATCTAATAATGTTATCTAAATTACATATCATGTAATTGTTGGTAAGCATATGTGCATATAGGTAGATTGTGTGTTATTTACAATAAGCGGTTCTGTCCACAAAATACTGCTGCAATCCCACAGTAGTATTATGTGGTGTGCCCACATAACTGGCAAAGTTATGGAATTGTCACAGCCTGTGCCACATAATTACATAGCTGTTCCACATGAATGAAATAAAGAGAAAATTGCAATAAAGGGTTCAAAAAATAGAAAATGGAATAAAATGTATATCTAATGCCGAAAACACTACCGTATAGGCAATGAAATAATGATGTGGTTTGTCCACACAGATGGCTGGAGAATTTTGGGTTTAAAATTTACATGGGTTCTTATTTAAAGGTTGAAATGTGAACAACTCCTACTACTTTTGCACAGTAGGTCAGTTAAAAGCTCTGAAATCATGATAACAATGCAGTTAACACTTAGCTTCAATTATTATCAAACATTTCTGGTAAACTGAAAGAAAGTGGAAAATATACAGTAAAATAAAAGAAAAAAGAGAAAAAGAGAGAGAGAGAAATAGAAGAGGAAAGCATTCCTGGGCATTTCCAGTAGTCATATACTTGATCACGAAATCTCATGATGTGTAATAGGATCTCTGGTTTTTATGTGTCCCATAAGCCTGCATTCTGAAAGTACTAAATTAATACAGTTTTCTAACTGCTATTTGTGCACATTCCAATAAGTTCCAATTCTTCATGGATACAAAATGGTATTTCAATGGTTACATATAAACAGTAATGTCTTAGCCCTTCTGATTGGGGATTATTCCTATGTAGTAACCTGCAGTAAATCTAAAACCCTATTATCTGAATCTTGGTCAATTTAATGTTTTTTTCTTACTAATACTACCATAGAAGTGTTTAGGAAGACATACTGACTTCCTAATTAATATGACTGACTTCATTAATATGATTTTGTTGAATAACAAGTAGGATAGACTTCCTGAGTCTTTTTTTATGACGTTTAAGTTACCTAAGGGGTTAACCACTTCACTGTTGATCGGTATCTCCAAATCATTTAGATATAACTTGAATTTAAAAGCGCTTTTTATCTCTGAAGAATACCTTGATAATTTTACATAGGAATAGGCAAATACACAGATGCAGAGATGTGTTCAAGGAAAAGATTCCGCTTAACTGAACTTAATTTCCAATTAATTGGAAAAAAAATTTGTAGTAATAAAACCAAGGGCATAAAGTCTGAAGAGTTGACTGTGGAGATCACTACAAATGGAAGTCCAATACTACAATCTGCAAAAAGCTGTATCAGTATCTTAAATTTCTTCCAAATTTTGGCTCTAAGCTATAAATATAAAAGGGAAGGTTTTAATTAACTTCAGAGGACTTTCAACCAGCTTCTTTACAAACCTGAAATTAAGTTTGCTCCAGTGATTAATACAACGTTAAATATTACTCTGACTGTAATTGGGTGAAAACACTTATCTTTATTTGAAATAAAATAACAAATATCAGGGAGACAAACAGCCCTAATAAAAACTAGCAAATAATCCTGAATAGTGTTGTCTACAAGATGATAAAACCTCAGTTTATATGATGGTAGGGATCGGATACTGTGGAAAGGCTATCTTTTTAAAATACTGTGGTCTCCTGGATCTTTGGGAATTGGGATATTAGAAAACTTTTGCATTGTGTTGAAACAGGTTAGATGGAATTAAGAATGGTCAGTTCCATTGTTTTGAATCTCTCTGAACATCACAGTGATTGCATTACTTCTACTAATGAAAGACTAAAAGCTTCCTATTTAAAGATTTTGAATATAGAGAGTTCTCACAGGCTTAAAGCGACTGTAAATATTAAGTCCAAAAAATATAAGAATTGGCAGGATTAAACATTACTCTTTTCAAAACTTCTTGACACTGCTATGGAAGAGAAAATAAAATATTGATGTTGACCACAATAATAAAGCCTGCTGTCTGTGCTAAGCAAAACTTTAAAATCCTGGTCATTAAACAAAAGGCAAGCATCAGAAAACAAGGGATAAACTTTCTGTGTGGACACAAAGGGTATGCAGTCACTAAGGAAGAGTGTAAAATCTCTGTATCTTTGGAGTTTTTGGTTTGAAAATGCAAGGGCTTTTTAATGAATTTTACATTAAACAGTGACTGAGTAAAGACAAGGAAATGAAACAGGTCTCCATTTCATCTGAGTTCTCTGAGTTAGACTGGACTACAAAGCCTGTCTGCATTGGTGTAGTGCTGCTCTTGGTACAGGGAACTAGTTTGAACAGGAAGTCTGGAGATTGTCTCCTCCAGAATAGCCTACAACTTCACAGTAACAGCATTTTCCTGAGAAAAAGGGAGCTGCAGGCTTTAACTCTCTGGGAGTTGAGACCCAGTATCTCGATATCTGATTGAGCAGTCATGCTACTACAATGTTACAAAAAAGTTTGATGCCATTACTACTAGCATAGTCTTTCCTTTTCTGTAGTTTGTTTGGTTTTATATATAAAAAGAAAAGGTCTTTACTCACCTAGCTTCCGAAAGACACCAAGCTTTTCAGCCCAGATAGGAAGGACTTAATCTGTTTTTCTAGACTCCATTTTTAAAAGTCCAGAGACTAGAAAATTATATCTTTATGTTTATTACTTCCAACTGACTGACTCTACACTGGGAATCTTGTAGATTTTGTAGATTGTTCATCTGCAGTGTCTTATTTTTCCCAACATTGTTACTGGCCCTCAGTATCTAGTGAACAGTATAGTTAGATGACTGCATAGTTTTCGTTTCCTCCATGAGTAAAAGTGAAGTTGTTTCTGCAAAACTCACAATCTACAATTTACAATGTGTGGAAGATCCAGGTCAGAGTTTTTAAACTTTGCCCTACATGCCATTGCTAAAATGAAATATAATTTTCATTTCTATTTTGCCATATTTATGTGCAGGTAACATGCCTCAGGCCATGACCACTGGATGTTAGAAGTTTATAATTCATATAATACTCTTGCCTAAAGTATAATTAAAATGTTGTCTGATAGTTATGGCTAATTAGCAAAAACCTAAAAGATTAAATTACTCACTGGGCCTTTGTCTGATTGAACTGATATGTGTCCTGGATAAAACATAAATATTGCAGGAAATAATCCAATATGACATCTCTGACATTCAACTATAACTTAAATTATAGACTGGTCAGTAAATGATCTTAAGCTGTTTAAGGTTTCATCAGCCGTCTGCAAGATTGATTTTCTTCAAAATTACTGTACTAAAATGTTTTCTTTTGTTGTTGCATTGACTCAGATCACAAACCACAATTTTAAGATCGGCTCTTATTTACAAAAGTGCTTTGACATAGTGCATTTGTTCAGCCTAGGCAACAAAAAAGGATTGTGGTATCATTTTGAAGAAGGTTGTTTGACAGACCCTGTTTGTTTATTTGGAGTAATGTGAGCTACATTCAGAAAATGTTACATTTTGTTTCATGATTGTGTACATTCTCTCCCACTGCTTCCAGGCAAGCCCTGTAAGCAGAGAAGACATGGATTTAGAACTTGTTTCTGTGGCCAGTGGAAGTGCTTTGACTGAGAACAGAATAAAAAACACGCTGCCACACAGACACTCAACAAGATCTTCGAGTAAGTTATGGGTTTTTTCAATATCAGTATTAAAGATTACTTTAAAATGCTAGGTAGAACTGAGTGTGCTTGAAATCCTTAATAACACATGCTGCTTATCCTTATGTTTCCTTTTTACCTAAATCCTTTTCATTCATTTTCTACAGTTCTGTTTAAAAACTGCATCTTTAGTATCAATAGACTTTCCTCTTGTGATTTTAATGGAAAGTTACCAGTGACATATTCTAGGTCTTCTGATGTTTGAGTTCTTAAAAGATTTTCTTTTCCCTAAATTATAATACAGATTTGGTTCTTTAATCTTCGCTTGAATTTTTTTTTCCAACAGAGCTTTTAAAAATGCATGTTTTGTTAGCTGAATACTAGAACACGTATCCTAAATCAAGGAACAGATTTCTGTCATGTTGATTACTCATTATGCTATAGTCTATGATCCCACTGAGCTTACTATAGCTCAGTAGCAGAGGATCCCTTTAAAGCCTTGTATTTTTACCACTCTAATATCATACAACTTAACAAAATAATCTATATATAGAAAAAATACAAAAATAATACTTGAGTCATAAAATGATAGATTTTTAAGTTTCATGCCTTACTTTGTGTAACAGAATTGAAGAAATATTAATATGTTTCTGATAAGGTCGTACTATATTTTGTCATTTGTGTACAATATCTTTTTCAAATACTTAAAACTCCAACGTCCAAAAATACACATTACGAAAAATATAAGCTGTGTTAAATAATTTTGTCAAAGTCATCAGAATTCCTAAAACTTTTAAGTAGTGAATTTTCTTGAAATGTTTTATGTCGAAGAAGAAAACGGATTATTTCATAAATTATATGCAATTAGTGGATTGGCTTTTTGATTATGTTTTCAGATGTGCTGACTTTTCACTTTCAGCGAGAAGCAAATTAAAATTCAAGAAAAACATGTAAAACTACTTGATATCTCAATTTTTCTGGCATACTTTTTGAAGGTTTTGGAATAAAGATTTATTTACATTATATTAGTTCACCACAGTAATAGTGAGTACAATTTGTTTGTGCTTATTCACTTTATTTACATTCCTAAAATTAGATTAGATGAAATTTATCATCATAGTCTAAGTTAATTTTGTCCATGGAGAAAGAATATGTTCTTTCTCTATGCCTGCCTTCTTAGAAAAGAACGACTTGTGCCCTGACTTTTCTTGCTTCTCTCCATTGGTTAGTGATGAAGCCATATCATTTAAGTTAGATGAGATTCCTAGCTGCTAAGATCCTGAATTTAGATGAGATAACTCTAAGCTACAGATGTCGATGGCAAATTTATCATTATATTCTTATATCCAGAATAGAATGCATGCATATCTTGAATAATTGAGTTAAATAGCATACACTGTATTCATGTTAATGTACAACTGCTCTCTAGATTGTAACCTAGACTGTATCTCCATCCAGAAAAATAAATAAAAGTAATCTCTCTTGACAAATATAGACATATAGAACTTGCTTATGTTAGGAACTTGGGAAAGTTTTTTTCTTCAGGATAGAAAAAAGGTGTCACTGTAGTGTACCTTCAATAAGGTGAGACTAGGAAAGGAGCAGGAACAATAGTCAAGTGGCAGATCAAAAGTGTGTGTGAGAGAGAGAGAGCAGGGGCGGGAGGCGGGGGGAGAGAGAGAGTTCACAGTAATATACATATACTTCCATAAAATACATATCTACTACGCCATAACTACATATTCATTCTCCTTTCAGTAGTCCAGAAACTACATTAAAAAAGGCCCTGGTCTTACACCTTTTTACAAAAGTTTCTTCATGTGTGTTTATATAAATTTTATCATCATGGATTTGAGAAATTAAACAGTGATGATACATGCAATGGTAATGCATATTCTATATAAAACCAAACATAACTATTACCTTTGTACGTTTCATATACTGTATGTTGACATGTTTGTTACATTAGTTCTGTTTACCAAAGACTGTTGCTTTTCAATGATCAAAAATAAATTATTAACCCTGTGGGATCCTTAATCTAAACATATTATAAATTTGCCTTTACTTACAATGTATTTATTATAAAATGCTTTCATGCTGTATAGTCTCTCTTGGTTTTGCTTTCTGAAATTTTAAATGAAGATGCCTGAAAACTATTTCAGTGATTTAGTAGGTGTATCCCCTTTGAGTGAACTTGCTTTTGTATTATAGATTATTATAAAGATTCTGTGACTTTAGAGGTGCTGTCATTTGAATAAGTTATTAAATCATGTTCCTTATATATAACTTGTAATTTAGAAATTCTATCAATAAATTGTTGAGATCTTAAGGCTGGAAAGTGAGGTTTAAAAATGCAAGATAATGTATACTACATATATATATTTTTATATATACTACAGGGAAATGTACTATGAATGGTCATATCTTTGTAAAGACAAAAAAATGCAACACTTCAAAGTTATCATCCTTTTATTTGCGGGGGTTTTTAGAAAGCCTAAGTCAGGATTTTCAGAAATATTTTTGAGAACTCCCCAACCATTATGTACTTCATTTATTTTCTAACAGTGGGTTCTTTGAATTTGGTGTTAAAAAATTTTAAGTCCCAAATCTACTATTTTTCTCGAAAAGTTCGAGGGGGTAGATAAATGACTTAATTCTGTTCCTTGAGAAAGCAAAATTAATTAAGTAATAAAAGAAATGCTTTTAACATAGTATATCTTAGTTTAAGGAAAGCATTTGTTTACTTTAAAGTATTTGATTTGGTTCCCTGTTACACATTCATGACTTTTAATTAAATTGACCCAGTATTAGAAAAATAAAGCTAAAAAAAAAATAAGTATAACCTAAAGAAAGAGTAGCCACTGTTCGGTTGGGCTCTTCAGTTATCTATCTAATTTAGAACCTTGCTTCTGTTGATGGACAATTATTATGATCTAAGAACATACTACTTTATATTCTTTCTGGAAACCATAGTTACTACTTTATAATCCCTGGTAACTATTTTTTCTATTGCTTGAGGTGATTTTGTTTGGGTGGGGATGGTTGGGGGGTTTTTTTTTGTCCATTCTTATCTGACCACTGCAAAAATCTTAATCTCTGTGGTACCTAGTCCCAATAAGTTGCAAAGTAGTTGTCTTAGTATGGCCTTTTGCTGATTATATTTTCTGCCTATTATTTTCACATAGATTTACCTTGCTTTTGTAAAAAAAAGGACAGGAAAAAAATTCTTTTTCCCTGCTGAATAATTTTTCTGTGATACACGTACATAAGACATGATGGTTAGTGGCTTACAGTCACAGTTATGTAAGATTCAAGTATCACTGGTATTTTTATTAACTCCAAAACAATGGCATGAATTGCTGGATGTATTTTTTGTTTCCTGAACACTAGTAGTGTAGTCATCACTAAGTTGCAAGATGGGCATAGAAATATTTTGCAAGAATTAGAAGTTATGGATTTTTTAATATCTGACCAGACAGGATGATTTTTTTAATATGCTAATGTCCAAATTGTGAGTAGGCTGTGACAATCATCAGCTACTGTCTATCGTCCTAATCTGTTTCTGGCCAACCAATGTTGGACCTTTAGATGAGTGTCCTACATAATTACATTGTCTAACTGTCATCACAATTTTGTGGTTTTCTTTTCTGTGCAAATTTAAACTTTTTTTCATTGCACTTGCCTTGGGAACTGCAATCTTTTGACAGGCATTTTGAGAAGCACCAGAATTTGAAAGTGGAAAGCAATGGGAGCTGTGCCTCTAACTGTTATTTTAAATACTGTCCAGAATTCTTAATTCTTCTCTTCCCTGAATTATAGCTTTTCAGAGAGCCTCTGATATCAGAAGAACACTGCTTTCGAGGAAAAAAAAAATTTCATTCCTTCATCACTCTTAGTTCAAAAAATGGACCCAGGTATATCTCCACTAAAAAAAAATAAATCACTTCTGTTTCTCATATAAATTCAAACTTTACTATTTTGTTAGTCAGTGAAATTAAATTAATGAAGCTTAATTATGCATTTCTTACAGTGGAAAGTCTTCCAACTCAGAGAAAAAAAACCCCATAGTAACTTTTGCTGTATTTTCTTTTTACATCTTTTCAATTGTTTTAGCTCTTAACAGAACCTCCGCATTGATTTTTTTTTTTGCCTTCCTTTCTTTGATAATGAGAGTCTTTAGAATGTCCTCAACTTTGCTTTAAGCAGTGTATGGTACAACTTCACTTAAAAATATTCTTACTTTCCTGTTCCTTTCTTCTTAGCATCACTATTGTCTATATATTCTAGTTCAAAGACTGCTGTCTTTCATTTAGGATTTGTAAACTCTCTGTGTGTAGTAAACATCTCATTTTTAAGCTCTCCATGTCATTACTTATATTTTACCCAGAGGTCTCTTGTGCATATTTCTTTCTTGCTTGCTTTTTCTTTTTTCTTCTTTTTTTTAATGGAGGTACATACATATTTTTCTGTGTATTAGTTAACTATCAAACAACGTATACCTAATCTTTTTGAACAGACTACAGAATATTTTACAAGATGCTGCTTAATTCACTTTGAGGTTGAATATTAAAAAATTACCTAAATGCAGATTTTAAAAGGCATTTAGAACTTGCTTTCATTGAATTTAACAGGCTAGGGAGAAAAATGATACATGATCTCATGTAATTTCATCATCTGTGTTTCCAATTATGAAAATAATTCAAGAACAGATACACAAAGGCATTTCCGAAGTTTTAAATACTTAACTTTATAACGTGACGGTTGTCTACAAGGGCTTGGGGGTTCTTCAGTGTAGGTGTGGTTTTCTTTGTTTTTTTTTAAAGAGAAACCAGGTTAAAAAAAAAAAAAAAATTCTAAGACATTGGCTTGTAGTTCACTTAAATACCCACTTAGAACCATATAATGATTAGACAGACCAATGACAAGGATTTCTGTCAAGTGATATGAGTAAATAATAACAATTTTAGGTTTCTTTTGCTATGGAATATTTGTCAAGTAGATTCAAAAATATTTCTGAGTTC